TTCCCCTTACATTACATATTCCCCCGGCTCCTAGAATTAGGGCATAAAAGTGATTGTGGGACTCTTATTCCACCCTCCACAATTTATCTTGTACATATAGTGATACATTTCCCATCATTCTCTATTAATATGGCCTACCATATAAAAAACCTGATCCCTGCTTTCTTGATCCCTGCTTCACTTTAATTTTTTTCTATTTTTGCATAGAACTGGGGTATAGGCCAGAGGTACGGGAGTGAGAGGATTCCCCATAGACATAGTGGGGAGCAGAACAGGTGGCTCTACTAAAATTCACTGCTGAGGGGAGCAGTGGGCGAGACAGAAAAGGTCTGCTGCATCCTACGTGGGTCAGCTCCCTGGCCGGGGAGTGAACTCAGAACCTAGCGGTGACAGCGCTGAGACTTAACCCACAGCCTTTGTCTCCACAACTGTGGATTTGTTCCATTTGCTCATTCCAGGCTTGGGTTCTTTCTTCCTTCCTGAATTCCTACAACCCCTCTTCTCCAGAATACTCTTACTTACCCTTCAGCTACCAGTTTAAAAGACTTTATTCAAAGAACTCTCCCTGATCCTGTGACTTCATGAACTAGACTGTAGATGCTCTCAGTTGTTTTTCATATCAACAGTAATTAAATTATTAACTGTGTCATTTTTTGATGACTATTGTAAGGGCAATCTGAAGATAAAGTTTTAACTTCATTTTTTATATGCCTGACACTTACCAGAAAAGTTTATTTGAATGAATGAACATGTCTCCTTTAATCCTCATAACAACATTAATAACAGTTAAGGATACTGAAACTCAAAGAAATTAAATAATGTCACCAAGTAAGAGAGCTAATGAGAATTCACTTGAATCTGTCTGGCTTCTAAGTCCAGCTCTTTATCTATTTTATTGGGGCCCACAAGCCACTGTCCACAGGTGCTCACTCACCATTACACTTTTAAAAGTACTCAGTGCTACCTTTCTTTCCCTAATGCAAATAACTTTTGCCTACTGATGTCATTGGTCCACCACCAAATGCCAAATTTCTTCCTTTTTTCAAATACTGGCATACGAGCAGCCTTGCAAACATTTTATTCCTTAAAAACCCTAAAGTTCTTAAAAATATTTACTAAGCTTATTTTTAAATTACCAACTCAGGAAAAAGATGCTTCAATTCTAGTTGCTATTCTTGTGGGGATTAATGACATTATGAAATCTCTGAACACTCCCAAAGAAATTTTATTAAACCAACAGATAAAGCCATCTACTTTGAGAACCTGGTCAAATTGCTAAAACCAAAGATCTAGAAATTATGGTGGGCCTCCCTGGTAGTGCAGGAGTTAATGTCTCAGCGCGATCAACCTATTGCCAGTCATTGAGACCTGAGTTCAATACCCAGCCAGGAAGCTGACCCACAAAGCACGGCAGACCTCTCCTGTCTAGCCTGCTGCTCCCCTCAGCAGTGGATTTCAGTCAATCCACCTGTTCTGCTTCCCACTCTGTCTCTGATGAATCCTCTCATGCCTCCACACCTCTGGTCTAGACCCCCAGTTCTTGTATGTATAAAAAAATAAAAAGAAATCTTTTTTAAAAATTAAAATAAAAAATCAATGTAAACATTCCTAGAAAGTCATAGAACTGTTCTTTTATACAAACTCATTCTTGGTCTCATGTACAGGAAGGAAACCATGTTATGATCATTATTTTGAAGACTATCTCCTGGACATTAAGCAAGACAGGAAGAATTCTATTTATAATTGCACTAGTCCTTGAGATTGCAGACCTCTTTACAGTTTCTCTAAGGTCTTTTCATTATCAGCATCCAATCTTCTTTTTTTAAAAAAAAAGTGTATTCTGATGGCCATGAGTCACATCACAGCTAGGAATATTTAGAAGATCATGAAAATTATTATAATTGGGCACAGACCAAAAGCCACATTTACTAAGATATGATCTAATTTAGAATCTTATTTCAATTTCCAAAGGAGCTATAAGTCAGATTTCAACAACGAAACAATTTCAGTGACAGTATGGTTGCTGTTATAATAAAAATCAGGTATGACTTTGGAATATATTTCCATTTGATTTTATTATGCATATATAACAAAATGTTTTAATTAGGAAACAAAAGTAGATTCATATTACACAACATTTATAAAAACTATTTATGATTTCAAAAAATATTAAATGAAAAGCATCTTAAAAACCACAAAAAGAAGAATAAAGTAGCCAAAAGGAAAAGCAATTAAATGAGCAAAAATCATTTGAAAATTACATTCTGAGATTTCTTTATTTTAAAGATAAGAGACAAAAGAAGATGGTTATATTATGATAGGAGAAATTTAATGGTGCAAAATCTCTTCCATCTACTTAGAACATATCTAGTAGCATAAAGTAGTCTATCTGATAGGTTTATATGAAACCTAAAGGCATCTCACAGCTTTTGTCATTTGTTACTATTCCTGCTGACATTGTATACACTGCACAAAAAATATCTGCAGCACCTTCTATTCACTATAAATTGAATCTATAACATCTTCAGAGTCTATAAGCTTTTGTCTTTCTAAAACCCCACTGCTTCACATGGAATCCCAGTGAAGCAGTAAGAGTCAGAATTGACTCCATAACAACAGTTTCCACATACCAAGAGCAGAGAAAAGACCTTTCCCAGGTAATGCAGAACTACCAGCCAGAAATCAAAGATCACCTCTTATCAATTTCTGAATATTAATCATAGAATAACAGAAATCATTAGAGTATAATCAGTACATCAGTAACATATTCCTATTGAGAACACAGCAGCAGCCAAATTTGCTGATTTATTGATATGAAATCTGATTCCTAATTTGGCAGGAAAAGAAATTTGACATCTTCAAATCTCAAACTATATTTGCTGGGTACTTCTCTATCTAAATACTGAGCTTGGTACCAACAAGGAAACAAAAACAACTAATCAATATACATTGGCCCATTGTTACTACCAACAATTGGAGTAAGATATATGCATAAACCTCATGTATTTGCGACACAACGTCGACCTCGAAAAATTGGCAATTTAAAATAAAAATGACCAATCTGGTTAGCAGAGAGAATTGAGGAAGCAAGAAGGAGGGAGCAAGGTGGAGAAGGAGAAAGCAAGGAGGGAGGAAGAGAATAGGACATCCACTGGCACCAGAGGCTTACTGGAAGGTGAGCAAAGCATGTGCAGAGAGGGAGGTGTGTAGTTGTGCCCCCCAAATTATGCATCTATGTAAATGACTGACAAATCGATAACATTCGAGGGAAATAAATAAATAAGTAAAAATGAATGCCACACAGTCATTTGAAAAAATTAACCAGGAAAAAATATTGGTCCCTAGAAATTATCTGTCTAGCATCCAAACATAAAATGCACACAGAATTGAAGGTTTCCACTGGGGACAGCTAAGGCACTCTTCAGAGGAAACCAGGAAGACGATAATAATTTAAACAGTAGAATAAAATTAAACCCTTGGAAATTTCCAGGGCATGTCAAGACTGTTTATTAGGAGCATTAGCTTCTGGAAAACTTTCCGGTTACTCAAACTGGCAATCCTGAAAGAACTTTGTTTCCGGCTCACAGGGCCTGAAAATCAGAGATTCGAAAAAAGAAAAAGAAGAAAGCACCTTCAATGTAACACTATGCTACTCTGAATTGTACTGGCAGTTTAGTCTTACTTCTTGCATTAGATTTGGTCATTGTTTTGAAACGGTTCCATACCTAAGCCCCACTTCCATTCTCAGTCCCCAAAAAGGATCTTTAAGCAAATTAAATACTATCAAATATCTGTCACAATAAAAATATTCGGTGGGCTCACCATAACTAAAACAGAAAATTACTTTTTAGTATCTTACAGAAACAAACTTGCTTTAAATAAATGGAACACATCAATGGCTCCCTTTTCCCACCGGAAGCTTTGGTGTCCCTGTCCATGGTGACACACTCTGGCTACGCTGTGCAACAGCACCACTACAGGAACACTCAAGCTTTATTTTTATGCCCATGGCTTGGGAGCAGATTTGCCCAAGTGGTTTTATTTCGCAAATCTAACTACTTACATGCACTTCATTTACACCAAAACCACAAAAGAAAAATCTTTTTCTGGGATAGGGTGGAAAGAAGAGGCTTTAGTCAGTCTATCAGATATGTTCGACTTTTTTTTTGCCTTCACCTTACTCTTTACCATATGTGAATTTAGTATTTCTGTGTTTTCCTTTTAGATGCTCGTACTGCGGCATCTTCCTACAAACCTAGCAATCCCCAAAAGCTTTGGTAAATCAAAGTTGAAGTGCTGATGCACTGGAATTTGCTTCTGACCACAAAACACATTTAAACATACCAATGTCCACTGATATTTAAAAAAAAAAAACTTTTAAAAACCCTAAGTGCATGATTATTGGTGATACAAGATATGCTTTTGAAATATTTTCAAAATTATTTAAGGGAATATTATCCCTTTTCCTTATTATTTGATGGAAGGAAGAATCACATTTCAATGATAAATCTTGTCTCAAAATAAGAGTGGGTTTGTGATACAGAGTAGGTCAAGCCATTGAGAGGTATTAATTAATTTTGCCGGAAAGCTATCCAACATGTCACCACTGAAACTTTCAGAGAGCCACATCTTAACTAAGACGAAGCTATCCTATTCCCCACCTAAATCAATTTCACCCAAATGAGGCGTTTGCGTTATAATTCATTGCTCCCCAGACGCTAAAAATCAACCATCTGCCATTGGAGTTTCTGTACAGTAATTAAGGAACTATCCATTAGAACTGGCAAGAGTACAGAGTAAGAAGGAGGAGGGGTTGGGACTGCAGAAAACACAAGCCACTTAAAGAGAGGGGAGGCGTGTGTGTCTCCCGCTGACCCCCTCCACACCTCAGCTCCGATGCTGTGACCCACGAGGCGGGACCGAAGTAGAAGAGGCGAGGCCAACTCCTCCAGGGGTTACCCCAACTGAAACCGCGCTGGGAACCGGCACGCTCTTCCTACCTTGAAAGAGAAAGGCTCTCGTCCCATTATGCAGCCCGGGAACCTGGCGCACGCCGGCCGTAGATTCCCCAAGTTCTAACTCTGTCAAGAGATCAATCTGAAGGGACGGATCCACACCAAGTCCCCAGACTGGTGGGGATGGAGGAGAGAAAGGGAAAAGAAAAGGCTCCGTCAAGATGCAAGCTTCCAGAGAACCGCGCCTGGGAGACAGTATTGGGCACTGGCGCCGAGAGGCGGCTCCCCCAGCCGCCGCGGGAGCCCTACCTGCCTCCAGCAGCCACGCTTTAAATAGCGGCGCACCCAGTCCCATTTCCGTGACCCACTTTAAAGCCTTCTCCAGGCAAAGTTCCCCCTCGGTCCTCAGACCCTGGCTAAGGGTGTGACCCGCCTCGCCGTCTCCCAGACAAGCACATTGGAAAAAAAAAAACAGACCCACAGCCGCCCCTGCCCCGGCTCCCAGTCGGGACCCCCTCCGGGTCGGGGGGAGACCCGCGTGCACCTCCGGGGGCCACCCCCCCACGCCCGCCGCCTCGGCCCCGGCTCCGCGGCCACTCACCTGCCCCCAGACCGAAGACCAGACAGAATGTTCTCAGTAGGACCCGAGACTCCATGGTGTGGATTGGCTCAGTCCATCGTCTCCCTCTTTAAAAAAAAAAAAAAAAAAGAAAGAAAGAAAAAAAAAGAAAAAGAAAAAAAAAAGCAATCGAAGAGGTTCTTGGTATCAAGCGGGAAAACGGCGTTTGTCTTCGCTGCCACGGATCGCATTTACAGACGAGAGCGATCAGGACGGTCTGGCCGCCTAAGGGAGAAAAGGGAGGCCCCCCCAGGCACGGGAAGAACTTAGACCCTCCGATGCGCACATCCTTCCCGCACGAGAGCCGGCGCGGCCGGGCAGGGAGGGTCCGGGGGGAGGGTGGGACTCTCCGGGCAGGCTCTGGGAGACGAGCGCCCGCGCCGGAGAAGGCAGCCCAGGCTCGCACACCCGCAGACGAGGCCGCCCCAAGAAATGCGGGGCCGGGGCGCCCCGCACCCGCCCGCCCTCCCCGCCGCCCGAACCTGTTGTAAAGCAGACAATGGAGAGCGCGCGGCAGACGCGCGCAGAGGAGCCGGCTCCTCCGGTGGGGGCGGGCCGCGGGGGGCGCAGGGGGCAGGGAGGGGCGCGGAGGGCGGGATCCGCTCTCAGCCCCGCTAGCCCGCGCGGCTCCGGCTCCAAGCCCGGTCCAGTGAGCCTCGAGCCGCAGCAGCCTCCTGCGCCCTACCCCCTCGACCCGGGCTGGGCCACCCTCCCGCTGGGATCAGAAGATCCAAATTCTAGGTACTAAGTTGATGGGCGGTCTTTGCTCACCCGGCGATTTTCGGCGCGTGTCTTGAAAGACCCAGGAGAGAGAAAGGACCACCCAGCCGCAGAAGGCGAGGCTAGATTGCCAGGCGCCCGCCCGCCCTTTAGGCAAGGGAGGGTCGCGGGTGTACGATCCTGCACTGGGCTCCGCGGCAGCCCGCGGGGCTGCAGCCGGGACCGCCTCTCGGTAGCATGTGGAGGAAGATTCGCACAGCAAGCCAGACTCCAGAGGTGCGGCGGACGGAGTAGGAGAGACTCGCGCAGTCGGTGACGCACCCGGGAAGCCCTGGGAGCCCCGGGAAAGAGGTTCCCCGCCCGGGGCGGGGCGCTGGAGAGCTTCCCTTGTGCGGAGAGCGCAGGGAGAACTTGGCCAAGAATCGGAGAGGTCTGGGACCTCGCGCGCCCCCTGCCAAACACACAGCAGAGACTCGGGTTCTAGTTCTCCAGGACAAGTGCACGTAGGACACAAGGACTGCTGAACCACTCTGTCTGCCCACACTGAAAAGGAGGGATGAATGAAGGATGGGTGGAAGGAAGGAAGGAAGAAAGAATGGATGGATGGATGGATGGATGGATGGATGGATGGATGGATGGATGGATGGAAGGATGGGTAGAGGAAAGGATGGATGGGGTGGGTGGTGGATGGATGGAATAAATGACTAGAGATAGATAATAGATTGGGTATGAGGGTGGGGTAGAGAAAAATTTTACTAAGCAGTACAAGACAGAACCCGGGCAAGAAATAAGGGTTTCTCCATTGTCGACACAGACTAACATCCCTTCACCATACGTAGTACCCCCAACCTTAACAAGTAGCTCACATATTTTCCAACATAGCCCCAAAATTTTTAGGTGAGTTTTAAATAAGCACATTCAACTCCAATAATGGAAAAAAAAATAGTTTTTAAAAGCAATTAACATGTTCTTGTAAAAATAAATTGCGTTTCTTAACTTTTCTGTCCAGTTCAGGTAGATCCTGAATTCTCCAACAGGATCCTACATGATTATTTGCCAAAATACCAACCAGATAGATTCTGGGGCTCCTGCAGAGCAATATGCACTGTGTTGTACTGTAATCTGGCCAGGGGGACATTATTCACCCTGTCCTTGGAATTTTTAAGAGTATTGCAGTATGAAGAGAATTCAAGCTGCCGTTGTTGCCTAAGAAGAGGAAAGAATATAGAAAGGTAATAAGTCTCTATCAGTTGGATTGTCTTCTGCAGCCTCCAAAAAGGGCAGTCCCTGCAATATCTTGATTTTAGCCCATTGACAACTATTTTAAGCTTCAGAACTGCAGAACTGTAAGATAAGAAATTTGTGTTGTTTTAATTCACTAAATTTATAGTAATTTGTTACTGCCACTACAAAAAATTGGTACTAAGTATAACTGCATAATGGATAGCTCAAAATGGTAGAATCTACTGGCCCTGAGAGTATCTCCTTTTGTCATAAAACATATCAAAGCTAAATAAAATGCCCAATGATTTTTTATTCATAGATGAACATTAAATAAAAAAAGGAAAGAAAATTCCCAGAAGATGGAGGGAAAGGAGGAAACTTGTTGGAGATTGGGAGAAAAAAGGAGTAGCTGATACAATGATTGGAAGAAGGTAGGAAACATGATTTCAGACTTAATAAGGACCCTAAAATAAATGGGGCAGAATTTTAATAGACACACCACAACTGGAAACAATGAAATATAGGCCAAGTTAGAAGAGGTGAAGATTTTACTGATCCCTGCATAAAAGTAGGAGCTTTGAAAGATTATAGTGTCTATTAAAATAAACTAAAATTTTTGCACATTGGTCCAAGAAGTGACAAAAATTCTGCCAGTTGTGCATAACCATAGGTGGAAGGCAAAGTCATTTACAAAAAAATGTCAAATTTCAAGTCTACCTCTTGTAGATATGGGTCCAAAGCAATATTCACCGTGATATAACAACTCTGAAATCAGAAATTAACATAAAACCCCTAGAATCTCCCCAAAAAGCAAATGTGAAACTTCTCATGAGGATCTTTCCCAAACACTGGCATATGAAAGGAAAATTACTGATAATAATAAGATAAATAAAATAATAATAGTAGCAATAATTGCATTGAAATAAAATATCATGAAAGACAGGAGATGCATACATGAGAAAAAGAATATTAATATCTCATGAACTTAGAAATCAGGGAAAAAAGTAACAAAAAAGTATAAACTAAGTATGCTTCAATGATTGGATGATTTTTTTAAGAAGGAGGAAAAAATAATGAAAGAACATGAGAAATAATATGAGAAAAGACTATACAGATCTGGGAAACTAATTACTAGAAATTAAAGTTTTTTAAAAATATTTAAAAACCATTAGCTCTAATATGCAGCAAGTAAAACAGTTGAAAATGTGAACAAAGAACTTCTGAGAACAAAAAAAAAAAAATGAGATCTGAGGTTATTATTGTACATGTAGCAAGAAAAATTAAAAGATGTAAGACATGAATGTTAAAATTAGCAGTTCCAACATACAACTACTTAGAAATAGGAAATAAGACTAGAGAGAAGGAAAGTAACCAGTGTCATATTAAATATTTAATCAAATGAAAACTTCCAAAAATGAAAGAATGGCATGAGATCTGAAATCTGGGTAAGATAGAATAAGCAGTCTCTATCCTTTCCCACTGAATGTTGTCAAACACAGACTGAATGGAAGAGTCAAGGTTCTGAAAATTAAACAATAACACCCAAATTTAGAATGAACACCAGAGTTTCAGATACTACAACAGAGACAGTGAGGTGTACTTCTAAGGAAAAAAACACCATCCAAGTCACCAAAGTTTATAGTCTCATCTTACAGGCTTTGAACAAATTTCCCATAGTGTTACATACTACTCGGGGAAGGAAAACCTTTCAGCTACATAAGAATAACCTGTGCATTAATGTATTGTAAATAAGGTTTCTAGGCTTCATTATAGGAGCCCAACACATGTTTACAATAGGATCAGACATTGACATACAAACACACTTCACGCCTGTCACTATAATTATTGCCATCCCAACAGGAATCAAAGTATCAAGCTAATTAGCAACTCTTCTGATTTCAGAATAGATCTGGACACTATATTACAAAGTCTTGGTGTGAAGTCACAACAAAAGGTCAGTCAAAACTTGAAGTTATAAATCTGAGTCAATTACCTGTTTAAAAAAAATGGTATTTTCCTTAGTACTTAACAAAATGCAGTCTTCTAACATAATATTAAAATGTCCAGGAAGTTATTCTGCATATGAAGAATCAAAAAGGATTCAACTTACATGAGAAAAAATACCATCAACAGACACTGAAGCCCACATTATATAGATGCTGGAATTACCTAAAAAATACATTTTAAAATATTATTAGAGTGCTCAAAAATATATGTTCAACCACTCTGAAAACAAAACACAGAAAATGGCAGAACATAAAAGTTATAAAAATTTACCACATAGAAATTTTAGAACTGTAAAGAACAATAACAAATAAAAACTTCCCTAGAATAAGCTCAGTAACAGAATGGACATAAAGAAGAAAGAGTCAATGAGTTCATGAAGAAGATAATTGAAATTACCCAATGTGAACAACAGAGTGGACATGATTTTTTTTAATGGATTTAGCTGTAGGAATCTGTGGACCAAAATTAAAAAAACATTAATGTGATCAGAATTCCATGAGAAAAGAAAGAATACAGCACAGAAAACAAGTATTAAGGAAAAAGAAAAAAGAAAAGGGGGCTTTCCTAGTGGCACAGGGGTTAAGTCTCAGCAATTTTAAGCCAGCCACTGCGGCCTGAGTTCGATACCCCGCCAGGATGCTGACCCACATGGCACAGCAGACCTCTCCTGTCTTACCCCTTGCTCCCCTAAGCAGTGAATTTCAGTAGACCTGCCTGTTCTGCTCCCCATTCTGTCTCTATCCTCTCACCCCCCACACCACTGCCCTACAACCCAGTTCTTGTATTCATAAATAAATAAAAATAATTCTTGAAAAAAGAACAAATGAAAGCCCAAAGGACAGAAGTGGTAAAAATTAGAGGAGAAATAAATAGAAACTGCAAATATGATAGATAAGATCAACAACATCAAAAGGTAGTTATTTGAAAAGATAATGAATTTCATAAACCATTAGTACAGCACACTCAATTAAGAGAGAAAACTCTAATATAAAGAATCAGGAATAAAAGAGAAATTATAACAGGTACAACAGAAATACAAAGAGAAAATAGTATGGATATCCATATGAAAACAAACTGGACAATTGAAAAATTAGAGGAAATGGATAAATTTGAAGAATCTACAACCTTCTAAAACTGATTCAGGAAGAAATAAAAAGCTTGAACATATAAATCAAAATTAGAGAAACTGAAACAAGTACATCAAAAGACTCTAAGAACAGAAGGTCAGATGACTAGTCCAGTGAATTCTACCAAACTTCCAAAGAGGATCTAATATTTATCCATTTCAATCCCTTTCAAAAAATTGAAGGAGGGAATGCTCCCAAATAAAATTTAGGAGATCACCATAATACTGATACCAAAACTATTTAGATGAGGACAACACAAAAAATTAAAACTATATAGTTTCAATTCTCTTTTTTTTCAATTTGGATTCCTTTTTTTATATCTTTCCCTTGCCTAATTTCTCTATCTAGGACTTACAATGCATTACTGAAAAGTATGGTGAAAGTGGACATCCTTCTATGTAATCCTAAAGAAAAAGTTTTCAGTTTTTCACCATTGAGTGTGATGTTAGCTGTAAGTTTGGTGTATATATAGCCATTATTATGCTGAGACATGTTCCTTTTAAAAGGAACTTTTAAGAGAAAACGTTTTAGAGATTTGTCATAAGTGGATGCTAAATCTTGTCAAATGCTCTCTCTGCATCTACTAATATGACCATATGATTTTTATCTTTCCTATCATTGACATGGTGAATGAAGTTTATTAATCTTTGGATGTTGAATCATCCTTGTTTCCCTGAAATAAATCCCACTTGGTTATGGTGCAAGATACTTTTAATTCATTGTTGAATTCTGT